GTTATCATGTTGACGCAGCGTCCCCCTCTCCCTTTATATTTTGTCCCAACCACTCGCTAAAAAAATTAAATTAAATAGAAATTGGTTTAAGCAGGATGTTAGAACTACGCACTTAGATTAGCTTGTTTTAGTACAGGGCTGTCCAAATAAAGGCCCGCGAGTCGTTTACACAGGTGTTAATCTCAACATCTTCATCTTATATGCAACAATAATAATAATTCAGTGTAGTGTGTATAATCTGTGAGTAAAGAATATAATGTTAAACGTCATCATGCATCTGAAAATATTTTTCTAGCCCTCCCAGCTTTTGTAAGAAATTTAATTAGCCCTGTTCTAGTAATTAGGTTTGGCTTTCTAAGCTGACCTTAAATTAGGAGGCTTATCAACTATTTTCATTATTTAAAAATGATTTATGATTGGTGGTACAGCCTAGCTGCTGTTTGCAATTTAGTAACTCAACCGGGGAACTTGGGTCCAGTCTCAATCATAGAATGTCAGCTGGAAGTTGAAGGTAACTATACTATGTACCTAGTTTACCATTATGTACCATTATAAGACTGCACGGTTGGTGCGGTGGCTGGGCAACCGGTTGCCGTGCAACGTGTCGCGGGTTCGATTCCCGCACGGAACAACACTTTGTGTGATCCACAAATTGTTGTTTCAGGTCTGGGTGTCAAGTGTATGTGAAATTGTATGTTTGTAAACGCACCCACGACACAGGAGAAGAGAAAATCCTAGTGTGGGGCAATGTTTTAAAAAAAAAAAATACTGTCCGTGTTCCAAATATCCAAAGTACCTATTTAGGTACCTATATACGTAACTTATTATCTACTACTATAATCGGCAACGCAATCTGATATAATTGCATGTATACTTAGGCTACGGTAACCACCGACAATCAGACTGAAGAATCAGTTTTCTTTTGGGTCAAGTAATGAAACAGTCAAACATTATTAAATATCGATTTAATGTAATTCACTTTGATTACAATAATATAGTATAGGTTAGTAAATACAATATTTTCTGAACATTGAAAGTTCACTCGACAGTCATGAATGGTAGAATATCACTTAATTATGGGAGGGGTTTTTTTTTTAAGTGGGGAAAATCATCGAATGACTGCTCCCGCCTGGGTGAGGCGGGAGGGAATGTCGGACTCTTACCGACTAAAAACCACCCCGTTCCTTCTCCTGCACGTCGAGCCGGAGCCCCGGTTACCCGTTAGGTTCTCCGCGACAATTATTGGAGGGGTAGGGGCAAAATATTTTTACTTATAGAACTTTCTACAAATTTTACGTGAACAAAACTTTGTACTTTTATAAAACCAAGCAGATAATTTTGACTAATCGTGCCTGCGCTGCAGTCTTTCACAAATTCTTTCAAAGTGTTCGGCATCGGTGTCGAACAGTAGCGAGCACGAACACAGGTCAAAGGCTGTTCGGCAAACAGTTTGTGATGTATCCACACGCTTAATTATTACACATTGGTGTTTTATGGCATATAAGCCGGTAAACCAGCAGACGGATCACCTGATGGTAAGCAATCGGCGTCGCCCATGGCCACCCGGAACGCCAAAGACGTTACAACTCGCCGGCCTTTTGGGGATTAGGAATTTAAAGTTTGTTGGGGATTGGGGAGACTGGGCCTCCTGTAACCTCACTCACACAACGCAAACCTTGTTTCACGTCAGTTTTCTGCGAGGCCGTGGTATCATTCCGGTCGAGCCGGCCGATTCAAAGCATGCCCCATGTGATCCCACGCTTAATATGGGAGAGCCATGCTTCGACACGAATGTGTTTGATATTTGTGATACCTAAACATCAAGCCTGTGGATGGGGCACAAGAAAACCATGCGAATCGATATTTAAAGAACCAGAAAAGTTAGTGAACCTTTAGGGACATAAGGCAGACTGAGGCAATAGTCATATTCCACTGTAAAAGGCATCCCAATGTAAAGGACACCTTATATTTTTTTTATTAGTAAGTATGTTATTGTTCATAGATAAATAATATATTTATTATACATACAATTTGTGCGAGATAGAGTATAAAAGTAACTTACAGTTCTAATTTTATAATATAATAATTTATAATATCTTAAATGCCATGTGCATTAAACACCTTTAATCACAATAAACAATGCTTTGGTATGAGATTTTAAATTTAACAAAAATATATTACGGCTTCCAAATAATAGTTTGATAGAATAATACTAGTTGACTTTATCATTTTGTTTAGGACATATTTTGGCTGACCATAAATAAATGTCACAAAAAGAGAAAAATATATATCTACTAGTAAAAGAACACCTTTGCAGTCAGATATTCGTTCTCATTCTCCTCTCTATTTTGACCAAAAAATTGTCCAACTTGCTGCAACATTTTCCTTCCCATACTTCATCATTACATTTAATTTAGAAATAATAGTTGACTTTTCACAGCCTATCACAGATGGCAGCACGGGCGTAACGGCCTTTTCATATATCGAACAAGCTTTAATACTTTGGTGGTATACATTGAGAAAAATACAGATTTATAAATAGTACTTCTACGTGACTTTAGTACAAATAGAATGATCTAGAAACAAACTAATGGATGTCAAAATGGCAGTTTTACTTTTACAGAGAGTAAAACTTTTTGACATACTTCGGTTGTGTTTATACAGCCGTGTATGTACGTACATTCGCCAGTGCGTCCGAATGTACGTAACGGAAGCTACACATTTGGCCATCGCCACCAGGAGCCGTCAACCGTAGCATGTAAAAAGACAATTATGCCTGAATACGGAAATACTACTCAATTTTCAGTTATAGGTACGAAATATCAGAACTATACTTGAGAGTGCTTGAGAGCACCGCAAAATTGATTGCCGTTTGATTATTTCAACATTTAGAGCCGATTTATCCAATATCAGATAAATGAAATAAAAATTGCGTGTTACTCACGTTAATATAGAAGGATGATAAAAGCTCTACTAGTTTCGAATCACAGAGGGAGTTCCTTATGAGCGCGTGCGGTCACGACAATGTCACGCAGCCTACTCCAGATAAATATTATCTGAGGGATAACTTTGAATATTTGACAATACTAAAAACTGTCAAATGTCAATTTTACTCTACAGTTGATTAACTGTTGATTGAAAAATCGGCCCTAAATCTGAATTATGTTTTGTAAGACAATTTATTCGACAAAAATATTAATGGACTTACTAAATACATTTGAAATTATAAAATACTAGGTATTCTAATTAGTTTGTTTCCAGCTCACCCGGATAATAAAAAAATTGAGACAACATTAGCTCCCTATTTCTTACAATCTATAAATACCTTAAGTATCTAATAAATAGCAGGCACTACAATAAAGACTATTTGCTATAGAATATTATTCAAGTGGGCAGTAAGGGGTTTCTATTAGATTTACGGTTTTTTTGCCCGCTAGACGGCGCTAATGTATCATGAGGTCTGTTTTTCTAATAACTATATCTAACAAATTGAGTGTCCAAAGTTTTGGCACTGGCTTAATATCTATTGGATAAACATGCCTAAACTACAACTACTAAACATACATGAGCACCATCTGGTGAGAAAAATAACAGTAGCTGTCATTTATACAGAATGTAACCGGAACGCTCCCCAAGAACGCTGACAGATGATGATAAAAAACAATTCTTATTTTCATAAATGTATGGAAGTAAATGTTAGCGACCTGGCCCGACTTCGTACGGGTACAATATCCATGCATTATACATGTACACCTTCCTTAAGAATCACACTATCTATAAAAAAATACCGCATCAAAATCCGTTGCGTAGTTTTAAAGATGTAAGCATACATATGGACAGCCAAACGGCGGGTAGCGACTTTGTTTTATACTATTTAGTGATAGTTGTCATCAACTGCTCAAGATTGATGTTGCATGAATAACATGAAAACAAGAAAACAATTACGATTAAAATTGTAAAAACTATTTCTTTTTGTCAGCATTCCAGGGGGTTCTGTTTACACTCTGTATATTCGCCTATTGTCACAGTCGTGAGGATATAAATTAAAATCTGTACCTAGTATCATAGCTGCTTTTAGTATTACTAAAAAAATTAATAATCTCATTGTTAGTTATGTAAAGCGTCTGATACATTTATCACATATAAGTTTTTTTATTCTTCATCTTAGGAAAAGTGTTAACATTCAGAAATTTTATGTTACAGTTTAGATATTTATTTTTTAAATTAGACTTCTTATTAGTTGCGTATTATAACTTGCTACACATGTAAAGCATATACTTTTAATATGATAATTTAAAAGAGTAAATAATTGTTTTCTACTTCAACATTTAGCATGAATTTAGTTTTTTCTTTTTAGTTTTTTTGGTTTTACTTTATACAATAATTATATAGTATACTTAATAATAATAATATTGAAAACTACCTTATGTTAGAATATAGTACCTTTGTACTTGTATAATATTGACTGTGTAATAATATTTTTGTTCGTGATCTTTATTTATAATATTTTGTGATAATTTATTGGTGCAAATAGTCGATTGAAAATACTTGAATAACATTATTTTTCAACTATGATAATATTAATGTACTACCTAAATATCAACAAAAAGTAATACCTACCTACTTGGAGAAAGACACAAAAGTAATGTGTATCAATTAATGTTCAATGTAACTACAAAAACCTGAGCATAAGTTAGGAACTTTGGTACATAACAAAACAGATAGGTACCTATAAATAATAAAAATATAAAAAGTATAAGGAAATATGTACCTTAAAACAAAAATAATAATAGCCTTATTTCTTATGGCAGTCTTGATTGATTTAAATTATATAAACAATATACAATCACATTTTTTATATAATTCAACAACTGTCATTTAAAATCATATACATAAAATTAATATAAAACTTTAAATCAAAAGGTATCACGAGATATTACACTACTTTTATAACAAACAGATACATCGGTAATTATAATTAATTCATATACCTAGTTTAATTGTATAAAATATGTCAAATACAAATAAAGTCATGGTATGATTTGAACTTATTATACTTCACATATCAAAATTAATACTTCAAAAATGATACATACTTAAATCAATTATTTAATTAATGTATGAATTGAAATGAGCCTTTAGAGGACTAAAATATAATTACTATATTTTACATTTTATACAAAATTCTTGGCAATAATTGAACACCATTAGACTGCATATTTGAAATCAGACGGAACAAATTTGAATGAAATAGGCCTGTTACTTCGCCATGTCTAGCACAAACAAATACTTATCTAAAGTCCTTTCAAAACCCCAATTGCTTATCTACAAATCCCATCATCACATCTCCAACTACATAAATTAACGAGTACACATATATTTCATTTTCTATAACCAATTTTGATGACACTGAAATATTAAAACAGCTAAAATTATAAATGAATCAGTCGAACTGGTAGCCCATCATTGAACATGAAGAGTTTTTGGCCAGTTGGAAGTTGTAAGGCTAGATCAGTTATGGAACTCACCATGAACATGATATTGGACTTGAGCCTTTTCTTATGTAGCTTCCATATAGTCCAGATGTTTGTTATAACGCAGGTACCAAGCTAAAGCACATAAACTACGTCGGGTACCACAATAGTACAGTTTTCATTTAAGTGTGGTGATTGGCAAGTTTTGTACTTATGTTCAAGTTTATCAACATCCATTTTAACACCTCTTTTCTTCGCCATTTCTATTACGTAGCTCTTCAACTTCAGGTCACTGGAATTGATAGATATATTTGATTAGAAACTTAATGTTAAAGACAATTTAAAAATCACAATAGATTCAGCCATGTATTTATGTGAGTTTTAGATAGACTTCTAATTATAATATTGTATAAAAATGTTTATTAATTCAGACCATTTTTCTTTTATCCAGTCTTTTTTTTTTAAGGGGGGGAAATCATCGAATCACTGCTCCCGCCTGGGTGAGGCGGGAGGGAGTGTCAGACTCTTACTGACTAAAAACCACCCCGTTCTATCCGTTTTATCCAGTCTTGTTAGTTTAATTGTGTGTTAGTAACAATATTCCTTAAATTACGTTAGTATTGTTGGATTTTGCATTCTGGGTGTTTGATATAACTGTCACCACCCAGTATCTCTGCAAGGGGCAGTCCAGTCTGGCAATCTTGTTTACATACATAAATCAATTTATTGTATAATTTGTGTATGTAAACCTGTTACATTATTAAATATGTAAACCTGTTACAATATTAAATATGTTACAATATTTATTACACATTAAATTTAATATTGTTTCTGTATTGTAAAGATTGTTCAAAACAAGTTTTATAACAAGAATTCAATTGAAATTGATAACAGGATAATCTCAATTGACTTTATGCATTACAACAAGATGTTTCCAACGAGTGAATGTGGGAAGTCTCAATTAAGGGGACAATACATGACCATCTTATGACTAACTGCGGACTTCAAAATGGCAACATTCAAAGCCGTTTAAAATAAACTTGCAGTTATATCTAACACTATACTGTCAACATTTCTCAAATACTAAGTACTCCCGTTTGGTATAGCCGTTATTCACCTCTTATTGATTATAACTCAATGTTTATGGCCAAAGCCAAGCTTTCTTTGACAAAAGACAATCTAACACCTAAATAATTATTCACTTCAAACCTGTTGTTCTAAAGATCAATGTGTTCAACTAAATAAACAAAACTCTTTAGATTTGTAAAATTATTAGTCTTAGTAGATTTTTAAAATATTTACAAACCTGAATTTCATACAAATGCAGCATAAACAGCTTAGCAAAGCCATGGTCAATAGAACGCCTACTGTAGTGATCACCATATCCATCAGGCTACCGTCCAACATATTTGAACTCAAACAGGTTATGATCACCAACTGAAAAATATTAAAAAGCGCACTTTAATTCTTAGAATAAATATCCAGTATTTTTGGAACGTTTTAACGTATTATCGTCTTCGGAATGTAAGAGCTAATTTTTTTAAGCATAATCATATCAAATATATAAAGAAATACTGAAGTAATCTAAAAATATCAACTTTATGGTAAATAAAATATTTTCACATTATATTACTATTATTTTAACGTTAAATTAAAAATGAATATAATACCCACTGTATTAATACCGCTTCACAGCTACACGCACTCACAATAATTCAGAATTAATTGATAAATTAGTAAAACTACGCCACAATAATACGCTGGCTGGTTGAAACACTAAAATTGAGGCGAAGTAAAACGAAAACATTCGATATTGACATTGACAAATTTGGCAATTCAAAAGTAAAATGTCAATGTCAAATATTTTGCGTTCCGTCTTCAACTTCTACGAAGAGGAAACGATTTGATCAATTGCCATAGAAGAAAAAAAAACGATTTGATATTGGGCTCGCCAATAGAATCCTTTTTTTTTTCGTTCAGAAAGAAAATAGTTTATAAATTGTCTATAAAAGTTAACTTTGTTTTGATATATATCTAAATAGAAACAAGAAAAACTACTTTTTTTAGTCTGCTAGTAATATGGATAGTAATCTGCTAGTATATTTATTTATTTATTTATGTACACACATACAACATAAAGGACAACACATACATAAAATTAAAGTACAAAGGTACCACCTATTCCTATTGGAATTTCTTCCTGTGGACCTGGAGCAGGAAAAGTAATAATAATATAATGACACAGTGTGTAGTGTAGTCATATTTTCGGTTAGAGTTTTTTAATAACCAAGATCCAATTTACTTTTCAAATCTAACTTTTATTGTGCATTATCATGAAATAACATTTATATTTATTACAACTATACAACAAAAACTCCAGCATCTTCTACAACAACATTACAACTTTGTGAAACAGGTGGGCAAGGTGGTCGTTTTACTGGCTTCTTCGTTTTGTAATCTGTATTCAGTTTTTTGGCTAAGGCCTTTACATTAGATTTCAATGATCGGTCCCTGAAAAACAGACATTGGTTACTTGTAATAGGTATATCTATTTTTCATTTCAGTGTAGTAGTAGTAGGTATAAAAATAGATCATTCATACTTACGTGTAATTTATACGGCAACAATAAATACACGCTGATATGACACAAATTGCTGCACACACAATAAATAAGAAAACTGAGATCATAATTCCTTGAAATATTTTTTGACTTTCAATGTAGAGAAGTTCTGAAAATAAAAATAAATTAAACGTGTTTTAAAAATATGAAATTTTAATGTTTTATTAACTATCATTGCATTGCAGAGCATTAACCAAATAAACAAATTAACGTTTTAATATAAATTACCATAATAATATCAAAACATAATATTAATTTACTTTAGTTATGTTAGTACCTATGATAGGGCGAAAAGCGATCGAAGGAAATTAGTATTAAAATTCAAAACCATGGCCATCTTTCCCAAATCTGATGGCTTCGGGAAATGAGAGAAACAATATTGTATAATTAATTAATTGAAATATAATGCAACTTACTTGCCATTTCATCATCAGGTAAATTATTACCATCTGTAAAATTTAAACATTTAATTTATTGTCTGCATAGATATTGTAATTATGAAATAAGAATTAAAGTTAAAAATACAGACAAGAATCGGTATTGACGATGCCAGAGCCTAAGTATTTTAACTCGAACGGTCGGTGAACTACAACTACCCTCTTACAGAATATCAGCATGAATGGTAACATAATGTTACCGCGATTTGACTGGTGGTATGTAAGAGTTCCGGATGTCGAACTCACTCACTATTCGATTAAGCGGAAGCCACAGAAATATCTTCTCTAATATATCTGTGGATGGAGCTATAATTGACGGGAAAATGAGAGCGCAATAAACTCCTACATAGTCCGCAACGTCTTTGTGATATCTTTTTTGTGTTGCTTTTCAAGTGTATTTGGATTATGTCGCCTACCATCAGACGAGTAGTAGGCTAAGATGTTACATGATGTCAATGACATATTGAAACTAATCAAGTTGGAATAAATAAAAATATTTCATTTCATTTTTACAAACTTACCAAGATTTTCATAATTAGTAACGACTTTTTTAAATACTCTTGTGAAATTGATTAGACATCTGCTGGTAGCCGAGTCGTAGAAGTACATTCTGAAAAAAATGTATTTTAGAATTTTAATGAGAGGTTACAGGTGCATAATGATGGTAAACATTTTATTTAAATATTATAAACGTGTTCAAAATACGTACTCTTCACAACCACATTTTTCATGACAAGTCGTAGGACTCGGTGTTACATAAATGTCCTGTATCTGTAAAAAAATAACAAATGTCAGGACTATCCGTAATAAGCCTAATTACTACGTTTAAAGCCCTAATATTTAAAAAATGAATAACGTATTTATACTTACTCCATCCTCTGGAGGACCGTCATCTGCATCTAAAAGTCATAAAAAAACAGTATGAGAAAGACATAATTTAACTATAAAGCATCGAATTAAACTACCTAGAAATAAATTGGACTGAATCATGGCACAATAACACTTCATCTCGGTTTATTGCCCTATGTGCCAATCCGAATTATTACGAAACGAATTGCCAACGTTGTCCCTTAAATTAATCACATAAACATAATTGAATATTACTTACAAACAATTGGACAAAAAGCAAGAAGCACCACCAACAACAAATTAATAACCATTTTCTTTGTCATAATAGTCCGTATTTTCATCACAATTTATCACTATCAACAAGTTTTGGTGAGAACGAAGCACACACAAAATTCGTTGGCGAAGATTTGTGAACAGTTAGTACACAGTTCAGTCGAATTTGTTTTATTTATTGGTATAGCTATATATACCAAATATCATATTTAGCGAAATTACAATATGCTGCACCTTTCAGCCGACCAATCGGCTTGGCAGCGTGGGTACCGAAATAGATGCATGACCTCGCAGGCGTTCGACTAATGGAGTTTACCTATTTATTCGGTCTCAACTATGTAATCTTTGAAAGTTATCTGTTATTCTATCTATTGCACAGATATTTAGGATTGTTTTTCTAGAAATATATAATTTGAAAAGAGTTATCTCCAATACCTGTCTGATACGGTAAATTCGGCGAGCCTTAAATAGTAAACAAAACCTTTTTCGCAAATAAATTATGTACTTAAATATGTATATTACGTTTTTTTAAGGGGGGAAAATCATCGAATGACTGCTCCCGCATGGGTGAGGCAGGAGGAAGTGTCAGACTCTTACTGACTAAAACCCTGTTCCTTCTCCTGCATGTCGAGCCGAAGCCCCGGTAACCCGTTAGGTTCTCCGCGAAAATGTATATTACAAGGAACAACCTAAGAATAAAATTAAATATTAAGCTTATCCTACTCCTTTCTCTGAGTATCTGTGTTGTGTACGATTTCAATCTGTCGTCTGTATCCACTCTGTATCTGTACTTATAGAATAATTGAATAAATTAAAAATAAAATAGCATCAACTTCCATGAACCAAGAAGAAGAAAAACATACTTAAAAAGTAAAAATAAATAAGATCGTAATTTGTGTCTTTTGAGAAAAAATTTCAACCATATCTCGTACGCCACGTATTTTAATCTCCAAATCCAAACAGGTAATCAGAGATAAATTTTGTAGAAGTTAGAAATATAATGTACCTAGAGGTATTGTAACTTTAAATCAAAATATTTTGAAGAATTTTTATTTATTGTATGAAATTAAAGAAAATCTACATGAGATTTGATAACTATTGGTTCATATCAATATCTATAAAATACAATAAATGAAACAAAATCATTTTCTAGCTTGCTGCAGCATGCACACACCTTCTCACTTGCTGGTATTATTGAATTTTATTTTGTTACTTCTGCTGCGCGCAAAGAAACGTGAACATTCGTTCAGAAATGTAGTATTATTTAATTTTATGAATAGATCCTGAAGATCTCAAACAATGATATTGTTATCATAATTTGAATTTAATAACAAACAAATAAGATAATTAGCTACCTTTAGTAAATGACACTGTTCTAATTGGAAATTAAATTACACAACAAACCAGACCATTTTAGTTGCACATTGCATACTGTAAACGTATAGAAACAAATTATTGCTATCTTTGTTCCGCTTGATGAAAACCTGATTTCAATTTACGTTGAAGTAAGATAGAAATAGTCCTGACATGTTCGGTTATTCGAGTCCACTGACTGCAACGTACCATCATCACCGTATCGCCGTGTTCAACTTCACTTCAACAAATCAAAAAACCAGTTTATTTACCGACTACATTCACGACGCGCGCGCGTTGTAGGTCTCGTGTCTAAAATTTTTAGTTCGTGTTTTCTTTTGTAGATTTCATTAAAAAAAAATTGTCTGTGCACTTTTAAGTTATAATTTTTCGTGTGTCATTTATACTTTCAACTAAAATTCCTCGAAATTTTTGTGTGATTTTCGAAAGTTCTCAATAAAGTACCCATTGAGAGTGATAAAAAGGTGTGTCGTGGTTCGAATTTTGAATCGTGAATAAACTTTTGTGCATTCGCGTGAAAAATACAGGTGTTTTGTTTCGATGAGTTCGTGTGTACAAAAGAGATGTTGATACGGAAAAGTTTACATTCGAAATCGATTGTCAGTTGCATAGTTGAGTGATCTTCGTGTGATTTGTTCAACAAGACGAGTTCGCAAGGTAAACGTGAGTAAAAGTTACGCTAAAATAACTGTTCCTAGCCTTAGATACTGGCTCCTCACTGTATGGTTCAATTAGCACGATGAAAAGTTCCCACCGGGCGATTCCAGTCGGATTTTAATTGAAAATCATTGTTGCATTCCAATAGGAATGTTAATAATAATGTAGTGGGTTGAAATGTTTTGATTTCGCATTCCTTTGTGCCGTAATGTTACTATCGAACAACAACCGGTTTGTGTACCATAATTGGGTACAACAATAATGTTTGTGCAAGCATTCGAATTTCGTTTTCGCTTGTGCAGTTTATTTGGACAACTGAACAACAAAAGTTTATTCAAAGAAAATTAATTTACAGGAACTGCTTGGAATATTCCTAATTTAAATTAAATAGTTTTATCTATTTAATTTTAATTGTAGTAATAACTTTTTCAAATAAAACTAGGTACTAATAAATGTCTCTATTGACTAAAACATTTTTGTTAGGGATGTTAACCAACCCTTATTTTGTCACACAAGTCCAAAGCCTGTCAAATGTTTAGAATTTAAAATTATTTTTAAAACACCAATTTACAACAAAAACAAAAGTTTTGAGTAATACTTAAACATGACATCACTTGTGGAAACTGATAATATACTACTTTAAATCTTCAACTTTAATTTCAATTGAAAAAATCTCAAAATGCCATAATAGTATCTTGAAGTTTAACATATTTGCTAAGCTAATATAGACCTTATTTACAAATTATAAAGACAATAAAAAATCATTATTCCACAGATGTGTTCATCAGGACACCTCAGCAATCGAACAAGCTCTCGTCAGCCCTGATGTTGTCCGGAATATTCCATGAAGTCGGCTGACATGCAGCCATGGCCAGTGGCAAGGCTCTGTATTCTATAGCGGTGGTCGCATTGGGCTTCATTTGCTTCGTAGTAGGCGCCATCGCTGTTGGCTTACCTACTTGGGGAAATTTTCATAGCTGTAAGTATTAATGAACTTAATGTATAATGTGATAAAACCTCAAATCCGTTACTCTTTGTACAGATAGACAGAAGTAGTTACAGATATTTGACATTATTACCAATTATTTTATAAATATTGTATGTAATATGAACCATTGAGGGACTCACACTAACTCTAGCGTAAGTCTCCTTTGCTCTCAACCAATGGGACAGTTATGCAATGTAACATATTATTATATTTTAATGATATTGTTAATATCCGCACTGGTATCAATTAATCATACTTCCCACATTAAACCTTGTATCAAATGACCTACCCACTGTTTAGATGAGTCACTGATTAATTATTATGTAAAGTTAATAATAGTCACCTACTTAAATAACATTTATTATATCGTTAGAGACTGCAAAATAGGACATTAGCTTAATTGCAGTAAAAACTGGTAAGAAAGTTGCGCATGACTGATTTGATAAAAAATTGACTGCATGGTTGGCGCATTGGCTGGTAAATAGTTTGCTATGCAATATACTGCTGATTCGATTCCTGCAAGGAAATTTCTTTTTATGATCCATGAACCAGAAACTGTTGCTCTGGTTTAGAGTGCGACATATACCGATGTAAATGGAATTTGTGCTTGTAAATGCATCACCAACCCAGAAGAAAAATCTCTGGTTCACTTTCCTTAACCCATATATCCCTAAGCGATCACCGGTGCAGTGACCGCTCTCCACTAACTATATTACAGACCTTATTCCCAATATTTAGAGACTACTTTTGTATGAACAAATTTAGGGGATGATTTTCAACAATTTTCAAGGGGTTAAACGAAAAAAAAAAGCAGCAATTAATATCAGATTAACAATTTAATTGGGTAGTCTTTGAAAGCTTACATATTACTGAAGTGGAATGTCAAGTAACAAAACTGTTTGATTGTATTACCTGTACCTATAGAAAACAATGCACAAAAAACAATAGAAGTAATTAATGTATCATACAAGCTTTGTTGTTTTGTAGGTTAATGTATCACTCCCATGGTTAGGTATTTTGGTTGCAAGTCCAATAATACAGTTAAATAAAATGCCACAGACTGAATGTCTGACTAACTGACCTATTTTGTAGGGAAGTATGACTCCAAAAATTACTGAGAAATGTTACCAATTATTCAAATCTATACTCAAGTCTTTTTATTATTAGTTATTATAGAAAGAAAAGTTTGGAATGGCTGTATGGATCTGGATGAAATTTTGCTCAGGGATAGAGGTAGATTCTAATGAGGTTTTAATACATAAGTCACTTTTAAAGTGTACATACACTCGTTGGCCGAGTGGTCGCAACTGCGACTGCTGGGGAAGGGGTCTCGGGTTCGATTCCCGGATCAGGCAAAATACTACTGGGTTTTAAAAAAAATCTCAGGAGTAGCACGGAGTCTGGAATTGTGCCCGGTATATGGCAAGAGGCTTACCCCCTATTACATGGGACCATAAATAGTAAAAAGTGGGTGTTACATTGTACAGTGGCATAATGTGCACCCCTGCCTGAAGGAGTACCTTCGGGGATAAAAGGAGTGTTGTTATGTTATAAATATAATACAGTACATATGTACATAATTATGTTACATTTTGACTGTACAATGTACATAAACTTTTAAGATAACAATAATTATTAATTAGGATGTACCTACCAGAACAAATAACAGATAATCACTTGGTTTTCAGGTATTTTATCCTCTACCATGCCATAATAACTTAGATATTTTCCTTGTCAAATACAGGGAAAAAATAGATTATTTACCATTATAGGTACTTTGTCTCTGAGTTTCCTCTGTTATAAGTGATTCTTATACTAGGTACTTTATTCAGTAAGCAAAATATTTAACATGAACAACACACGATTACAATTAATTTGCATATTAATTGTTCCTTTATATAATTCCTAGTCTTATAAATGTTGAGGAAGGAAGAATGTATACACGGCTACACATCGAGCTGTACATAACCAGTATAAACTGAACGTTAAATGTGCGGAAAGATGATGCGACGCGACACCAGGATAAACTGGTTTTGTATAGATTGATGTGTAGTCGTGTGTACCTTATTCTATCAGTACTGTAACTATAATGAAATAACAATGATTTTTAATACATGTCTGTGTAATAAGTAGATATAAAAAAAAATATATAGGAATGCCAAAAAGTTTAAAATTAATTTTTACGTAACTGCCTGACGACGTATTTCGACTAGTTTCAAGGCACGCAGGGGCTCATATTCATGAACAGCATTGCGCGATAACGACGCAGCGAGCGTCACGCAATTAGGTGTTGTTGGAGTTAGTTAGTATGTACCCCTATCTTGGCTTGAAACTAAACGTGTATCAAGTTTTTTTAATAGAAATGACTACATTTGTCTATTCTACTCATTTTTTTTGGCAGGCCTATTCCCAATAATGACACTGTTAGTAAATGCTTTGCACTTAGATTTGTTTAAACTAATTCTTTCAGATGACTCTGACTTTCAACTCTCAGTTCCTGGGTACTATTGTAAGTATTGAAAATAGTTTCTTGGTGGTCGGGTGGGTTAACGCTATTGAACACCTTGTAACTATACACATAGAATACATATTTGCTTGTTAACTTGTGGTGGAGGATTTCCTAGTTTTACGAACTGGTGATTCATAGTTAGTAGATAAGGAAATTCAGTTTCATTTTGGTGAGGAAATCGTCGACCCGTCATCGTCTCTGATCTAATAGTTGGACACACCTTTAAAATTATATCTACTTTCACTTTAAAACTGTCTTTTTACAGGTCTATTTTATAGTTTACTAGTGACCCGCCCCGGCTTCGCACGGGTGCAATATGCATGTATTATACATACAAACCTTCCTTAAGAATCACTCTATCTATTAAAAAAAACCGCATCAAAATCCGTTGCGTAGTTTTAAAGATCTAAGCATACATACGGACATACAGCGAAAGCGACTTTGTTTTATACTATGTATTGAAGATTTTCGTTTTTGCCAAGACATGCTTAGAACTCTGATGTAATGAAATTGGTTATAGGCGTTACGTGCAGCAAATTAGGAACCTATTCACTGGCCTTATAAAGAAATCCGTACTTGCAGGGAGAAGGCTTTTATTGAGGGGGTAATATCATCCAAATGCTTCTCCCGCCCGGGTGAGTCGAGAAGGAGTGTTAGTCGACGACTTAACGGGTTGCCGGGGCTCTGGCTCGAAGGGTAGGAGTAAGAACGGGGTGGTTTTTAGTCAGTAAGAGCCTGACGCTCCCTCCCGCCACACGCAAGCGGAAGAAGTCATTCGATGATTTTCCCCCCTTAAAAAAAGGCTCCTTCTGCTCTTCGAGCCGAAGCCAAAGCAGCCCGTTAAGTCCTCCGTGGCTCCCCATCGGCATCAGCCCTACTGGACCCCATCTGTGGTGGTCAGATTTGCGATATATGTATGGACAGTTCATAATGACGATATACTCATGTACTGAAAAGAAATTCTAACCGGCTTCTTTATTACTTGTTGCGTAACTAGAATATTCACGTTCATCTAAGATTCTTCCAACGTAATAATGATAGTTACGCTTTTATTTATGTTTATTTAAGCCACAGGTTGTAAGAAAGCAATAATCGGAAACATGTCTTATCTCATAGTAGTTTCATCAGCAAATAACAGTACGTACAAAAACCGGATTGAAAGATTATATGTATAAGTGTTAGACTACTGCGTTTGATGCAGAATATGATACTATGTAGTATCAGGTAGAATGCCTAGAATGCCTCGTGTTTAGATATAGATACTAGCAGTTCTGAAGACAAAATAGCAATTTACAGTGCTATGCATACCGATCACAATAACATAAGACAATGTTGAAAGGTAGTTCGTATTTTGTTTTATTTAAATGTAGTTAAATGTTAAACAAAATAATATTTTCGAAATTAGAAAAAGATACTGGTTTCATAAACAAATTCGAATGACAAATTCAAAAAGCATTCGATTCTAAAGCGTATTCGTAATTTCGTATCTTACTCCAAAAAAAGAATTGTACCAAACTTTGTCGTTACTTTTTTGGGCATACAACCTTCATGGTATTGGTATGTAAACAATACAACTAAGTGTGCGTTATACTTGGGTGTGTATCTTTTATCTTGGGGCTCACAACGGAAGTCGCAGGCCCAAGCTCAAGCGCACTGGAAGTAGGCCAAACCGCGCTCCTACGTCTACTGTTACCTTTGATACCTTCGCCTTTCTAACGTACCTCAGCTATTTATAAGATAACATCAATGATTGCCCGTCAAATCTCAGAAACTAACCTCTTTTTCACGGAAAAATAATACCCGTAGATTTTATTTTCTCAGAACCATTTATAAATCCATCTCATATACCGTTCAGCCATTATACTAACTGAGATTTTTAAAAAGAAATTGAAATTGATCAAACTGCTGCAGTTTCGCAATAGCTTTTCACTTTTACTTCCTTTTTAATAGTACCAAGATACTAAATACAAGTAAGCGACAAGCGTTAGAATGTTCTTATCTGCACTAGTAACTAACTGTACACAGAATAAAGTTACAATTTAAACTGCACGGTAAACAGCACTATGGTAATAATTACCTCGTAGGCTGTTCTCGATGTTTACTTGGGTCGGTATATTCAGTGCATTAAAAAATGTGGCACGCCCGCCAAACGGGTTATTGACCCACGAGACCTTTGTGACAAAACTTGTGGGAGATGTGCCAGGCTGCCAACGGTCGCGGTTATGGAGTCGTGTTTTTTTTTAATTTATACAGACTACAGACATCGTGCATTCAACCTTTTGGATTTTTCGCGGATTTAATTTTGAAGTTCGATCAACATTCACGTCACGAGATTTGAGAAGTTCTTTTTGAGTGTATTTGGATTTTAAAATTATTATAATTGCAATGTTTATCATCAACGAAATTATAACTGTAAAGCAAAGGTTCTAATGGCACCTAAAGGCTTAAAGGTTCTTCAAATAAGTATTCTAATTTGATACCTATCAAAGCAAAATGGTTTTAATTTAAGTTTATGAAATCTTCGATAAATTCTACCTTTCTTGGATGAAAATATAGTTAGCTTCTTGCAGGACACCCCGTATCCACATTTTTACATACAGCAACAACATAATGTTTTAAAACTATCAGTTGTTTAAATAACAGCATAAAATTAAAGTTAACAACAAAACTTTTGTATAATTGCGCCATTACATTGGTTCACAGACGACAGGGTTCACGCCCACCATAATAACGGTACTACCAAAATAGAAAAATGATAGCTTATTAATTTAGAATCGATGCATGTCTAACCGGAATAATAAATTGTGAAAGCCGTTGCAGTTACTATGCGGTCACAGTACCATGTAAGTCTACCCAAATTGAGTAAATAGATGTCTAAAAACTATCGATTCACACACCTCAAGGTCTAAACTTTAATTGCTATCTGCCAGGCAAACATGTGCTAGTTCCCTAGACAAATGTTTATTTTACTTGACGACATTGTTTTCGTGTTCAGCTCAAACTTTTAGAAATCCAAGTCTTAAAAGTATATTGGTGGCTTGCTTTTAGTTAGCCTAATCTGGTGTCATTTTCCTATGCTTCTAAAGTCTGTCATGTAATTTACTCTAAGGTAGAATACTGTAACCGTTGTTGATCTGGCAGTTCATATCGAAACCATCAATGGTAAGCATGACAGCGCCATTTTTTTCCCTGTCAGGCAACGACCTCGGCTCAAACACAATCACGATACGCGAAGGTCCTAAGAAAGAACGTTTTTTTTTCTATTCTAAATGTTTTTGTTTAGTTCTTAGTCTTCACTGTCATCATTGTCCGTGACATTGATGTTAAATGAAGTGTCAGCTCTGGTATTTATAACAGTTAATTTTATAAAAAGACCATTATGCTATTATGCATCTCTTTACAACCACAAATACGCATTGCTAAGTTTGTTGTTTTGATTAATTATCGTTTTGACTCAACGTGCAGATGTTTCTTATATATCTGTTCATGCCATTTACTATTACCGTTTTTACGGTTCGGGCTTTTATTACGACAGTCGTGATAGATATCATAAACCAAAAAATTGGTATATTGTTCCACTTCTGTTTCATCAGAACTATTGAGAGCCATATTCGCTGGAACATTATCTTTTATGGCTATTTATTAATACATTGGATTTCTTGATGTTGGTAGGTGCTAAGAAGCGTACTATTGCTCCTTAATCTAGGCTATCGGTTTACCGGGACTGGCCTGAATCGTAAAATTTATCGGTGCACTTTATGACTTATTGTTCCGCAAAGTTCTTTAACATTCACAGTTATATTGCCTCGCCGTTGTAAATAACAATCACAGTCACGAATAACTTTAAATGCTATATTGATGCACTGTCTTCAGATGGACAGGCTATCAGATGGATAATAAAATAATAACATAAAATTATGTAAGCATGCATAGATATTTCTGAAACATGCAATTATATCTTTGGTGTATCGTCTAACCTTATGTTTTATGTAAGCTTAAAACTTTCACAATACTTTTATCGTATCAATTCGTTTCAATCCTTACTTGCTTTTTCTATGAACCGTTCTTTATTGATTAGCTTCTGTTAGAGTATAAATATTAAACCGAAGCTTCTACTGAGTACCATTTATGTGTTGCGATACACTATTGAATTTCTTCGACCCTCGTAAACGACTCGAGACAAATTCAAATGGGCTGAAATCCTCTACGTATACCTAGTTTAAATTTTGCTACGCTTCCATCTATAGACTTGCGTAATGTTTTGTTGCTATGCAAAACATTAGGAGATATTTTGTTTTTTCTTCGAACTAGAAGTACTAACTTCGCTCAGAAAAATAATTTTATCGATTACAAATTAGTTTTTTTTAGTCTTTTTTCATAAAAGCCCCTTAATGATGATTAGGTTTCATTCTACGTTTGTATAGAACCCATTCTATATACAGTATCATTTATTTCCGTCACGCTACATAGTGTTTCAACATATGATGTCCAGTCAAGTGCATTGTTGACCCGAACACTAGGTGAATGTCGGTCATCGTGTAATCAATTGACACATGATTCATGACATACCATCATTAATGCAGTGCATATGGCCTTCCTCTGATTTCGCCATAGTGTTTCTAGAGTTTATTAAGACTCATATTGGTACTGCTTCGATTGTGTTGGTAATTGTATTTGCTGTGAACGCAAAACGTGACTTTATCTTGAATCTGCGCCTATAGGAGGCGCAGATTCTTCAAGAGTCAAATAGTTATGCTTTATCCGCTTTTTGTTTGTTACTGGTATTGTGTTTTGTATGTATAGCTGTGTAGCACCTACACACGAAGTATATTTAGTCAGCAATATATTTTCCACTAAGCTCCATTTAGTATAGAAACAAAGCGATTAAAATTGCATTTACATGAGTCATTCGTAAGTTGTTTTCCTATTTAGAAACCACGTTCGTATTAAATATTCAAAGGCGTAATAGGAAAATCGATAACACTTTTTTCCGCGGAACGTCTTTGAAGGAGGTTCTATGTCCGTAAACGTAGTTAGATGAAAGAGTTAAGAGAGGAGGTAGACAATTAGCAAGGTCTCTTCGCAACACACTATGAATTAAATTATTATGCAGCCAGGAAATCGTGACGAGGGCCTCTGTACTCCTCTTAGCGTGTCGCCGACCTTCAGACAGATTTGCGAGCCTTCAATGTGTTCAGCTCAACTAATAGGCTGATTGTCATAGTATTCCTAAACACAGCTATTTCCCCAGTAGTAACGCGAGACGACCTTGGTTGAAACTCTATGATGCGTTCATTAATGAATACAAGTTACAACTATACATATTGAGACAACATGTAATATTGCAAGGTCTGTTGAAATATGTACATACGTTGTACAAACGGGTCTGTTCTACATTTAGGACACTGTCTAAAAGGCATGTATTTCAATAGACATATTTCCAGTAGTTGGACCACATTGAGGGCTTGTAGCATAACATGTTTGCTTTATTAAGGTATTGTTACGTCAATTTTGTTTAACTTATGTATATGTGTAGGTGGTTTTGAGGTCGTCAATGATTTGCGTTTGGATGCCAAGTCAATATTTTTACGTTACGTCACACATGTCTATAAGATTTTTCCATAACTCCTTGACCTCCTTCATGAGTAGTCAGTAGTCCATTATTTATTTTAAGCCCAGCATTGTACGAGAATGAAAAAGAATGATGTGGATCAGTGCACAAGGCTTTGTTTAATTGGTTAGCAACAGTGTTAATACTACAACTGTAGTAATTAAGATTTATATTGAAAGGAAATTGGAAAAGCCGGTAAGTGATAGCAAAATGCTGTTTATCAGCGTGGTTTTGCGGCTTTCCATTGATATAGCCCGAGCGCCGGGCGGTACTTTCCTATAGCAAGTCTTTCTACTTAGGCTTTAACGTGTCATTTAATCGAATCCTACACATTTGATGTGACTTATTTAGGGCCCTGGCAATTTAATCTAATGTCTGTATTTATATGTATATCATCCTTAATGGCTTGTCAATTAACAATGCACGGTGGCGGGTTGTGGTTCGTTCCTATTAAGGTAAATACTTTATGCAACTAACTAGAACTTGGTAGTAAATCAGTGATTTGAACTGAATTCGGAACATAAATTGGTACTGATACTCTATTAAAATGGTGATTGAATATGTTTTTGGTACTAACAAACAATATTGTATGCCAAATGTTTCTGATGTTTTAGGGTTGTAATTAAACATATTGTTTCTTTTGTTTGCAGTAGACAATCCGAACTTCGACCAGGGTTACTTCGGACCATGGCGAGTGTGCAAGAAACTGCTCTACAACAGGGAGAAATGCGGCTCAGACGTCTCCAAGTTCCATCCGTCGAGTAAGTTACTTAACATACATTTACGGTTTTATTTACACATCTTGTTTGAAAGCTGGGGTTGTAAAACATGCAGCTCATTGATAAACAAGAAGTAGGTTTATCGAGTTCCTATTAATAGATTCATTCACGGTCATGGTTCAAAACATTCTGACTAATCTAATGGAGTTGAGAGCTAAAATCATTTCAAATTTCTTACATTAGCGAAAGACCTATTCATTGTCGCTAGCTAATCGAATTTTCTTTTATCTACTCACCTCTATAAATAGCTACACCATCTAATGTCAATGCTACAACCGTTAAATAAATTCGTAATAGGTAATGCTCGCTTGCCTACACTCTCAACAAGTTTCAGAGTGCAAAGGCCTCCAATGTCCGATTGAGAAACAAATATCTTTGAACTATCGTATTAGAAGTATTTTGCATTTAACATACATTAGTCTTCTGTTTCGTATCGAATATTGAGTTGTATATTCCGACTGCGTTACTTACAAATGATAAAAATATAATTTAGACGCCGTTTTGTGTGTCATGTTCCAGAAACATTAATATTCTGAAAGTAGTGCACCAAATGGACTGACCTATTTTCTTTCATAGACACGCCCTTAGTTTCCTTTGTTGTCGTTCACTACTAATTGTATTAATTTTTGTCGCTAGATGTATTTATATGTATAAAAATGGTAATGTTTTTACTTAAGAAATTAAATTACGCTATAATCTAATTTTAGGAAAATTTTCTACGATGAACTTCGGTATATGTATTGTTAATGTTATCAGAATCTAAAAATTTGATGTCCTTTAATATGGTAAACAAAATGTTGTTTAAAGGTAACCTAATATTTCGCTTAAAGGGGTCCGTCGTTAAAAAGGAAACGGGGGTCGGTGGAACGGAAAATAAAGGAAAGGGCTGTGCGTTGCTATAATACCTTTGCCTTTATCGATTTTTTTCGAAAACAGGACACGCATCGGTGTCTTTGTTGCAGTCTTTTATGTATTTAGGTTACACACTTAATATTCCTGGGACAATTTTGTTAAAACCCATTTTTGTAGTACCTAGATATTTTTTTAAACACATTACGTAGCATACTAAAAATGATTTAAAACAACTTAAGTTCGGTCGTTAAAACCAAGTAGCAAAAAGCACTAAAAGATTTAATTAAAGCTAAGAAAGTATCTGTACCTAGGTAAAGTAGTAGACCGATATAGACTAGACACAGATTACACGTGAAAGTCTAGATAAAATAGCTCCAACGACAATTACTTCAGAGGAGACAGTTCGCGACTTAGATCGAAAATAGATATAGGATCGTTATCGTTGTTTTCTGTCCACTTAGGAAATTGGTTACATTCGTTCTTAATTGAATTGATCTTTAACCGCTCCTCAGTTTATTTTGCTAACATTTTTATTGTTTACCTGGCTAGAAGCTCGTTATTTTTGTGAGAAAGAATATTGTGATACGTGCATTGTGTGGTGTTTAGTGTTTCTGTCCTGTCACAAACTAGTTTATAACCTGTGAGTACGTGAATGACCGTTTGTTACTTTGTGTCTTTAAAATGTTGAATATAATTTTGATATTTTTTTACTTCACGTGGGCGGAGAGTTTAAGTTCAAAATAAGTAGAGGAAAGTCGAACTTGCTCTGTTAAGTTGCCAATGTTGCGATGTTTTAGGAACGTTGGTCGCGCAAGTTTAACACTTGGAAAGAGGGGTCGGGTTTGATTTAATTAGGTAATTGTGGATATTTTTTCTTTATTAGGCTCGTAAAAAACAATGCGATACAAATTGAAATATGTGACGGTAACTGACCTGTGTCTAGGTCTGCTTCCATCAAAGATAAAAGCATTACAATTATATAAGTTATACTTACCTCTAGACATTTTTAAATTAAAATTGGCCAAATTACACCGTATGTATTCACGATAAATAAACGAATTTTTAGTAGTGCTAATACGTTTAGTAAGAATCTGTAATTCAGTTGGAAAGAAAAACAAAACGCGATTAGTGTGTCGTGGTCGTGACTGAACTCAATTAATTCTCATCTAATGCCCGTATTAACGTTTCCTTATAAACTGTCTTCAATACCACGTTATTTCTATTTAACATGCTCCGATTACTTCGATCGGTTTCGACTTTAGATTAAAAAGATAATTAGTTGCTTCATTCAGTATGCTAAATGTCATTAATAATTCGTTATGAATCATTCATTTAATTTCACTTGTGTAAACTTCGTGTGTAAACTATGGTTGAAATATGAATATTTACTACTACTTACTCATAAAAATGTAATCTAGAAAATTGTTGAAAATCATCCCCTAAATTTGTTTATACAAAAGCAGTCTTCAAACATTGGAAATAAGGTCTATAATTTAGTTAGTGGAAAACGGTCACCGGTGACCGCTTGAGGATATACGAGAGTACCTAACTCATGCAGTTTGCAGAGGTGCACGACCAGTTATGTAGTGAAGTCCATTTATTATTTACTAGCTACTTCCGCGCGGTTTCACACGCTCTGCTCAGCTCCTATTGGCCGTAGCGTGATATTTTATAGCCTATAGCCTTTCTCGATAAATGCACTATCCAACACAAAAAGAATTATTCAAATCAGACTTGTAGTTACGGAGATTAGCGCGTTCAAAGAAACAACTTCCGCTTTATATATTAGTATAAGATTAGGTTCTGCCAGTGGCGTCACTTGTTATTCCAGACTACAATCTAGCCCTGTTCCAAATTTCATGCCAACCCCTTCATTTGTTTAGACGTGTTTGAGTAACAATCATACACACAAACTCACAGACTTTCCTTCTTATACATAGTAAGATACGGTATTAGGTAAGAAAGACTTAACGGGAGTCCCTCGATTGTAACTAAAGAATCTTTGATTTGATTCCATGTGGATACAGTAACTCACAGAAAACCAACGTGAAGCAACGCTTGCGTTGTGTTTCATCGTGTGAGTGAGGTTACCGGAGGCCCGCTTACCCTCCCCTTCCCCAATCTCCCCAATTCCAGAATCCCCAACAATCCTCAAACTCCTAATCCTCAAAAGGCCGGTAACGCACTTCTAACGCCTCTGGTGTTCCAAGTGTCCATGAGCGACGCCGATTGCTTACCATCAGGTGATCCGCCTGCTCGCTTTTGCCATAAAAAAATAACTGGAATAAAGCAAACAAATAATTAATGAACAGAACTATTCATTTTCTATCCATTATTTTTACAATACTTTCTTGAAGAAAAAAAAAACACGAATAGTGTCCTGGGTATTGTCCAATTAACAGTCAGAAGATATAAAGCTATTTGCGCGTCACCAAATGAATTTCTCTGTTAAGGGAAAGTTCTATTATCACCTACCTTTTCAACCAATATGCTGATACGGTCCTAATCAAACAAGTAAAGATAAAAGTCAAATGCTAGGGGGACATTTAGGCTAGTGTGACAGGTAGAGATGTTTAGAGACCTCCTAATGTTATGTTGATTTATTTCATTTATACATTCTTTATTATCAAAAAATCGCGAGTTACTCACGAGAATATACTGAAAAAAATATACTAGTTTCGAACCACAGAGGGGTTTTGATTTAAGTAATTTTGACTGTAAAAGTTTTATTATGTCTCTTTTAAGCCACATCAAGTCTGCGTCTTTAATTTTCTGGTGTTTTTTCAACACCACGTAAAATGATAAGCACATACCCTTAAGTCACAGGTCAGTTCCTCCATCTAATCGATCCGTCAGTTCTCTCAGTTCAACGAACAGAACGATACTAAATGTGTTAAGTAATTACCTGGTAGTTAATAATGATACACTGGTATGCAATTGGTTCGAACATTAACTGTGGAAGACTACAAAACGATGGACATTAACGTTATGTTAAATAAAGTAATTTATCACTTTTTTTCTTGTAAACAAATTAGGTATTTGTGTTAGAAATTAGAATATTGAAATGCAAACGTTTTGTCTTATTTAAGGGTAGATTTCTTAATACGATTGTAATAGATTCTTCTATGTGTATTTGGCTCGATATTTTTGTTTGAAAGTATAAAAAATGTTTTATTTCATCAGTGTTCATATAAGAATTGTAACAGTTTACATAAACATGGGTCAGCCCAGGAGGCACATGGCTCATTATAGGGGGAAATGTAGTTTGTTTCCTATCGTCACAAGAGTCCGTAGATTCAAAATCTTCTAATTAACAAAGACACTTTCCTCATGACGTTGATTTATGAAGTATTGTTCCGTGTGAGCTGAAAGTAAGTACAATGTGTGTGTGACTACGACAGTGCTAAGTTGTGCGTTTATCACACGTGCTACTTAACACTAGAAAGACGGAAAAAATCATCTACCTACAAAGACGGCGAGCGGTCAAATGACTGCTCCAAGTTTTTTTAATATTTTTTTATGTTTAAGTGCTAGAAATGGTACCTATAGTATTAAACATGGTATAATATACTGTTATTTAAGTAATATGTATAGAATTTCTAATTTTATCATTTTGTTTACATTACAAAAGCCGCAAAGTGGCTTTTTGCAATTGTCGCATTCTTTATGGGTTTTTTATTTGCATTTATCTATATAATATTTTGGAATTTACTGGATTTTGTGCAGAAGATTGTGAAGTAAAAGATCTAGACTATTCAGGCAAGGATTCAGTTTCAGTCTTCTTCAATTTATACTTTGCTTCTAAGTTCACCCCCTGAATTTAGTATAAATAGCCTTTGTTTCATGTAATATTCTACATTTTCCTATACCAAATGAAGGAATTATATCTAAAAAAGTAAATTATCTAAATTATGTTATATCTTTGCTAGGTCTCAAATATAAAAACTACCAGTTTTTTTAAAATTTTTACAAGACGCATCTGTATCAACTGATTCATCGACATTTGACCACTTAGAGTAGATGCCATTTGAGGTGTGTACAAGATACAGTCGATAGTTGTGAAAAGACCTTGATGCTCAGGATCTTCTAAACTCCTTTCACAGCCTTTATCACTACCACAGCAACGACTA